TCATGTTCCTTGAGTAGCTTCCTTTTTCCTTTCTAATCTTTGAGAACATGCTCCTGATCCTTAGTGCTCCAAGATTTCACAGTAATGTGTCTGGATCTATTTCTTTTTCTCATTCATTGTGCTAACATCAAACAGGCTCTTTCAATATCCACAACTGTGATATCTCATTTCCTTGGAATCCTTGTCTCCACTGGTCCCAAGCCACTTTCCCAAAGGTCCTACCTTGTCTGATGAGCTTTTCATCATCGGAATCTGCAGTTCATTCATTCTCTGACCACATGTTCTTCTAGTTCACCTGCTCTGTAACGCCAATTTCGCTTCTTAAACCTTCACAAGACTTATGATCCATTGAACCCATTAATTTTTCACCATGTATCAGTTTTCTCTAATTTTTATTTCTCTTTTTATCAATAGATTTGGTAGTCCATTATGACAAGCATTCTCACAAAAATATTTTATCTGCAATTCTCTGTTTCAAAATCCCAGCCCTGGAGCACATTTTAGGTTGCTACCTAAATCTGTTGTCTCACAGGCTGCAGTTCCTTTTCTTCAAATTAGCGCTTTAAAAAAAAAAAAAATCCCAGCCCTGAGTAGTTGCCTGGATGCTGATAAACAAATTACTCCCAGGGAAAATCGCTTTAAGGATGACAGATTTCACTTCAAAATTCAGGATCTCTAACCTCAAATGGAAAGTCAATATTGCCTTATTCATGAGTTTGCCTTTTTATTCTCCAAGATACCATGTCATACCTTTTTTCAAATTTAGACATCATCAAAGCTCCCTCATCTTTCCACGAACAAATCTACAAAGTTTCCCTGGACCTACATCCAATCCCTCTTATCACAGCAAAGTCACAAATGCCTGTCTTTCAATCCCTCTCTAGACCCCCAATGCCTGCCCCGCGAGCTCTGCGTCCCACCCGCTCTTTCCTTCTCAAAGACTTCATTGCTCTGTGATCCCCTGCTCTATCCACATCAGCAGCCCTTCCCACTTAACTCAGTCATTTCCACTAATATTCAAACATGTTCTAATACTGTTCATTGACCTTTTTTTTGTTCCACAGCTTCTTTATCCATTTTTTTTTCTAATACTGCTCATTTAAAAACAAAACAAAACCCACAACTCCTGCCAGCTACATCTCACTGCTGAATTACTGAGTTTGGTTGTCCAATTCTTACTGAAAACACTCCATCCTGAAATTGTGCAATACTAGATACTCTAAGCTGCGGCTTAGACTGCACTGATTTGCACTCAGAATTATATACAGTAAATTGAGTTTTATCATTATTTCTAAAGCTCTATGAAATTTGCTACTCATGAATTATAAATACATAAGTATTATAACTCTAAAAATAAGCTAGAGAGACATTATTGAAGAATGTGTCTTTGTGATATTCAGAAGAGAAATTTTACCCTGGACTCAGCATCAGTAAAGGCTATGCACCTCCTTAACAAGTGGTTTGATTGTATCTTTGGGACATTCTGAAAATTAAAACTAAAGTATTTCCTTGTTGATTTTAGGTGCTAGCACCTCGCCTGTAGCACAGCACACAGTTCCGAGATTGCTCTTAGTGCCATCCTCATTAATTTCCTGCTCTTTTCTCCATTTCCTTCAGCTATTTATTTCCGCCTTTCGTACTGTGAAAATTTTTGTAAATTATTTTAAATCCTTTAAGAAACAAATGGAACAAGGTGAGGTACAAATAGATATAGTAGAAATAAAAATTAAAATAGAGCTAGAGAGAAGCAAACCATGAAAAGTATAGAGACAGAGAGGGGCAGAAGGGAGAAGAGAGAGAGTGTCTGTTGTGTAAAGTAATAAATCCCTATGTGGATATAGATCTTAAGAAAATGGCGTGGCAGGAATAGTTAAGCAGTAGTATGTTTCTTCTGGAACCCCACTGTACTGAAGCAGTCAAGTAATTGACTTAATGTAGAAATATTTTACAATTCTGATTATAAAAATATTTGATCTCATGCAATTTGACCCATCTTGTCATTTTTAACAACTTTACATAGGTATAACTGATATACGAAAAGCAGCACATATTTAATGTATACAGTGCTACTAATATAGAGCTACGCAGACACATGCAACACTATTATTACTACAATCAAGGTAATAGACATAGCCATCATCTGTCTTATTACTTTCAATTTAAGACTGTGGAAATCATTTTCAGAAATTTTGCTAGTGTAGAACATTTTTCCTAAACATTCTTATCTTCTAGTGCTTCGTTTTTCCAGAATTCGCATAATAAACTCTAATTACACTAAAGCACTACTACACTTTCTGAAAATAAAAACCCGTACCGTTCCCCAGAGAATGTGATTTAATATCTGAGACAATGAGCTACATTCACTTTTTTATCGTCAGTTTTGGCTGATTTATTTCAAATCAGGAAATTGAACTAAAATGACCATACAACACACTTCAAGGCTTGGTTGATTGTCAAGCAGGTTTTAAAAAGAGATGAATATGTGGAACCCACAGAAAATACTATTCAAGATCCAAGGGTATCTCTATATGACATATGATGCACTTGACTGTTTACTAGAGAAGAAATGCTGTGTTTTTTCCATAAGTAAGGTTTTTCCATCAATCCGGATTTCTAGACTGAAGACTATGTACCACCACTATGGAAAACAGTATAGAGGTTCCTCAAAAAACTAAGAATTGATCTACTATATGATCCAGCAATCCCTCTACTGAGTATTTACCCCAAAGACTTGAAAACTCGTATCTGAAAAGATATTTGCACACCGATGTTCATAGCAGCATTATTCACAGTGGCCAGGACATGGAAGCAACCAAAGTGTCCTATGATAGATGATTGGTTAAAGAAGCTGTGGTACATATATACCATGGAATATTACTCAGAGATGAAGTACTGCCAACATGGATGGACCTTGAGATAATCATGCTAAGCAAAATAAGCCAGACTGAAAAAGCTGAAAATCACATGATATCACTTATATGTGGGATATAAACCTAAAAGCAACAAATGAGCAGGACAAACAGAGACTCATGGACATGGACTATAGACTAGTGGTTACCAAAGGACTATAGAGTAGTGATTACTAGTGGGGTCGGGGAGGAGAGGGAAGTTGACAGGGTAAAGGAGGTCAAATATAGGGTTAGGGGGAGGGTGAAGTGGGTAAAGGGGATCAAATACATAGTAGCTGAAGGAAACTGGACTTTGGGTGGTAAACACAATAGAATATACAAATGTCAAATAATAATGTACACCCCAAAATTATATAATTATATTAACCAATGTTACCCCAATAAACTTTATTTAAAAAAAAAAAAAGACTATGTACCTTTCACAGAAAAGAAAAATGCCAAACACAGATTGGGTACAAATTACTTCATTCCTTTCTTGGGGGTTAATACTCCAGTAGAGCAGGAGAGAGTACCGACATCCACCTCAACCCCAAAAAACTGTACTTTCTTCATGCCTATCTCCCTTCATCACCAAGGGCCTTTCCTAGGTAGAATTCTGTGTGTCACTGAAGCCAAAAAACCATCAGGGAATTATAATGGCTACTTTTCAGGTTTCAGTTTACACAGATCATTTCGGTTCTTTATTTAAAAGATCCTGTCCTATTCTCTTCAATCTGTCTGCCCATACTACAGCTGTGTCAAGGCATTGCCATATATTTACATAAATGTGAATAAATCAGTTATATACCTGAATACTGGGTGATATTTAGATAATAGTTAAGTAATCGTGACCCAAAGCAATGCTCTAAGATTTACTTTACCTAAAGAATAATAGATACAATGCACTAGGACATAAATATCCCTATTTGCACAAAAAATAACTTTTTGCATTTTTTTAATGGTCCAACTGCATATTCATCATACAGCATCGTCACTTAAGTCAATCAAATGTGTACAATTTCCCAAGAAAATGGTGGCAATAATTTTTTAGTTTAAAGATAATAGTTTAAAAAAGAGAAATATACCAAAATAATTCCATCATCCAAGTGAAGATTAAAACTAATTGAAACGAAATGGTGCCAATGTAAAGACTGCAATCATGACGAATCACAAAGACCATGAAAAGTACAGAATCTTCTCATTCTTCTCAGATCTATCTTTATTTCTGTGCCTTATTCTAGAATTCTAATTTGTATCCATGTCTGTTTGACCAGTCGCCAATCTATATATTCTAGAAGCTGTTGATTTTAGCCACAGAAAATTGTTAGTTTCTAAAATAGGGATGTGTGTATGTTCCTCCTGCTAACACTTTTATTTTTCAAAAAAGGATATGTCCTTATTTTACTATATATTCTGATTATGAAAAATAAAACTGCAAATGCATAAGTAGAAAATGACAGCCCACTGCACACACACGTATGCATCTATTCTATCTAATACTCTTCGTGTTCCTAAAATTTGTTAAACACTTCTTTTCTTAACATTTTACTTTATTCCTATGAAGGTGCACACAACTCAGTGAGTTTAATAGCTTCGGTACCCTATATACATCAAAAGTCAGTTTTCCATTGAGTATTTTCAACTATTACATGAAGCAATCAAATCAATAAAGCATATTTAAATCTGAAATTCAAACTTGACTACATAATTATGACTTTTCATTCTACAGAGAGTAGTCTCAGCAAGTCATTCATTTTCACCTTCATCTTTGCCAATGTCCAAAAAAATATATATAATATACACATGCATCAAAATTAATTCCAGTTTCTAGTAGTCCCTATAATCTAATTTACCATATACCTATCTCAAAAACATTTTTCAATTATTTAAATTTCTCTAACTCTCCTCATCCCCACACAAAGTTACTTATCTCTAATAGAATAGGATCCTATCTCTAAAACTTTTATGTCCTATATACTTCATACCATGGCTCTTGATTTTCAATATTTAACCGAATATCACCTTTTGCAGAAATCTTTGATGTGATGATGACCTGCGATGCAGTGAACTCAACAGAAAATATCAAAGCAATAACACCATGGTTTTACTTACGAGAGGTTTTGGAAGCAAGAAGAGTAACTCGGGAACCTCCTAAGAAGCGAAAACCCATTACATTCACTTGATCATCTTCTGACTGATTGGCAAAGCCTACAAAGAAGAAAAAAATCACCTTATGAAACCATAAGGCAAAACACTTAACGTGTGAAATAGGAAGCTTGGTTTATGACACGTATTTTTTATGTCACTAGTCATGTTTAAAGCTCAGGTATGAACTAATTTAACTGATTTCCATCGTAGCTTCAAATCGCTAAAATCTCTGCCTCATAATAACACTCTGAAATCATTTAATTCTCTTTCTTCTGCTGGTTCATTCTAGGTCTGAGGCAGGAAATGCACAAGATAAACCTAAAACAAAAGCAAGGAAACTATTGGTGACTAGTAGAGTTGTATAAAAAGGGTGAAAGAACTAATCTAAAGGGATTAGCACTAGCCAGAGATTAAAATATTTTAATATCAAAAGAGAAAATAACTGCAATGGAGTGAAACACCTCAAATATAATTAAAGGCATGTGTTTATATTGATATTAAAAAACAAAATTCATAACAATGTATTACAAGGTTTATAATATACGTTGATGTAAAACATAAGACAACAGGCAAGGAATAATACCAATTCTACACACTCTTCAAAAAATCTGAAGAAAATATTTCCCAACTCATTCCATAAACTCCACATTTATGACACATAATTATAAGAAAACAAAATTATAAATATCCCTCGTGAACATACAGACGTGAAAATTCTAAAGTTTAGCAAATTAAATACATCAATATATTGAAAGGGTAATACATCATGATCAAGTGTGATTTATATCAAGAATGTACAACTGGGCTAACATTCAAAAAGTAATCAATGTAATCCACCTATTAATGGAGTAAAGAAGAAAATTACATAAATATTTCAACTGCTGCATATAGAAAAGGTATTGAAAAAACCCAACATCCACTCCTGATAAAACTCTCAGCAAACTTATTATAGAAGGGTATTTCCTCAACTGGTAAAGGACATCAACAAAATACCCACAGCTAAGACATACTCGATGGTAAAAGACTGAATGTTCACTCACGCCATTTCTATCAACATCCTCCCAGAGGTTCCAACCAAGGTAAGAAGAAAGTAAAATACAAATGGAATCTCCAGATTGAAAAGCAATAAGTAAAACTGTTTTCATTTGCAGATGACATGATCATCTACATAGAAAATCTGATTAAATCGACAAAAAAGCTAGTATAATTACTAAGTGGTTTAACAATACTGTGTGATATAATATCCATATACAAATATCAACTTTATTTCCATGTACTAGGAAAGAACAATTTGAAACTGAAATAAAACAACACAATTTACAATACCATCAAATATTAACTACTTAGGGATAAATCTAACAAAATATTTGTAAGATCTATACATTGAAAACAGCAAACTCCAGGAACTCCAAAAGAGAACACGCTCTATCACATACACTGGATCTTAAGGAAAAATTGTTTTTAATTTATCATTGCGTCCCATTTCTAAAATGAGGAAGAAGTAAATATATGCTGATAAACCTAAGATAACCTATGTCATCAAGACACTTGAGCCCTAAATCAGGAGAAAAGTGGATGAGTCATCTAAGCTTTCTTTAGTATTTCTTATTTAATCTATACTTATAGAGATTACCTGTCTGGTCTAAAGTATGCATTTTTATTCAATTTCTGTGGGTTTCATCTATCTACAGTAAAGATCAACTACTCAGAAGCCAGGGTCTTTTTCAAAGGCACCAATAAATTCAGTGTGCAACATATTATTTCCAACTAAATTCCCAGGATAGCATAGGAGATCCAAGGAACTAATACATTTGTACAAGATGTTATAAAGATAGTGACTCTTTATGCCTTTTTTATAATCCAAATTTGTTATAAGAAAATTGACTAAGAGGGAAGGGAAGGAAAGGAAGGAATGAGAGGAAAGAGGAAGGGAGGGGAGGGTGGAGGAGAGGCTTTTCCTACAATGAAGGGAAAAATCAAAGGTACAAAACTATTTGCTAATTATATATATACATACATATATATATAGGTACATACATATACTCGCACGTACATACATATACATGCACCTACTCAATTCAAACTAAAGAATAGATGAATTATAATAAAGACCATTCAATGTTGGATGTTTTTCATAGTTATATATAAATCAAGCTTTATAAATACTTCAAATTCATGAGAAATAAATTTAAGCACTTTAAGTAGTTAATAAAACAAAAGCTGACTTACCATAAATTTCTAATCATTGTGAGACATACTCTCTGTGTTCTAACTCCTAGCCACTAACGCAAGGGTGAGGACACATCTCAGAGTCAACAGTGCCAAATTTTAATGAAGGATTTTAAAGGGTTGATTTAATTCCCAGATTTGTTTTTTAATTCCACCCCATCACCAAGAAAGTGAACAGACGAGACACCAAGGTGTTTTATCCAATCAACACCTCTCTTTTTCCTAACCTACTCAGAATGAAAAACTGACACCTGGATAAAGTCACACCTTCACAAATTACCCCAAATGTTCACTGTGATATTCAAGCTTTATATATGGAGCCCCTTCTAAACCATCAGAGACAGAGAATGAACATTTGCCCCCTCCAGCTGCTCAAGACAATAGAACCACAAAGAGCACCTATTTATGAGATTAATTTTCAGGGGCATAAAAATACACTTTAAAAAGGTACATAAACAAAAACCTACAATGAAGATGAATAATAAATATTTACATTCTAAGGTAAAAAATTCCACAGTCTAAAAAGAAACATTTGATGTTTTCATTTCTGAATACTGAAGCAAAATAATGATTATAATAATTTTAATCAAACTTAAAAGGTAAACCTTATTACTTTGTTGATATAAGCTATTTGCCTTTGAACAGGCAAACAAGAGGAAAAAATCCTTGAGGCATTTTTATATTCTGACTTAACAATTATCTGATAATTACCCCTCATTACCTGCTGATGAAGGATTCCATTCTAAATTCTTAACATTTCTGATATTATAGGCATGTCACTTCAAAAGTCCTACCTGGAAAGAGACTGAGAAGACTGACTGGAGACTTGTTGGTATCAATAGTTAGTTTGTGGCTTGCAGTTTTTGAAGGCTGACCTGGTAGGCAGATTAATTTCAGGGGAAGTCTAAATTTACATTGAATAACTCGAGGAATGCCTGAAATAGAAAAAGAGAAATGTGGATTCATAGATTTGACAAATTTGACCAAAAAACAATTTGTATTACTAATAGTTTGAACGTGTCTTAGTTTAAAAGTTTGCTGCCTGACCGTTTCATTTAGCATAACTGAAATAACTACAAATTATTATCATAATCCATATTTTTATTATTGTCAAAAAGTACAAGGCAAAAATAAAATCTTAAAGTGGAACAGCGGTATGAGTTCTGCCCTTAATAATATCATATTGTAAAAAGCACTAAAGTTCAACATTACGTACAGTTATATTCAATTACTGAACTATCTTTAAACTAAGACCTTCAAAGCTCTAGCCCCTAATTTAAGACTACCATCTAAAATGAATAATGAATATGAAATTTCTATCGGAAAGATTATATGACCATATCTGTATGACCATATCTAAGGTCTCTACCCCAAAAATTCTTTTAACCTTTAGTTTTTTTACTTATTAAAAAATTCAAATTTAAAAAAAAAAGAAAAATCCACATTACAATTAACAATTTGCAATAAATTATGAGCATGAAAGAAGAATCTGCTTTACTGAAGTTCTGTTGAGGCTCATGTCATTTTATACATTAATATTAAAAATATTACTTTCACATGAATGAAATTTTTCTCAATACATTTAACTTTACATATCGCTGTTAAGTGACATTTTAAAAGGCTTCCATAGTCATTCAGTTGTCAAATTTTTTCATTATGTATACAGGCATAGTGAAATAGATAACAGAACAATAAATAGCAATGAAGAATTTTATGTCGAAATTAAAAGTTTTTAAAAATCATTCCTTTCAATATTTCTACAAAGAATGAAATTGAAACCAAAGCAAATTAGGCTCTCTACTTATAAATCTAGAAAAACAATTCTACAACTTTAGTTTTCTCTCCTTTTATTCTAGGATTCTATTTTCAACTGGATAAGATAAAAGATAATATACAGAAATCTATATCTTAGTATACTTCTGAAGAGAAATGGAAAATTTTAAATGTTCTACTCTACTTGATGGATCCATGCATTAATGCCTTTATTTTTTCAGAGTGGAGTCAGTAAGCAGTTTAAAAACAGCAAAAAGTAGAAGCAGTCAAAGTTTGGGGACATGATCCCAAAGTAGGAGCCCTAGAATTAGCAATGTATTTTGTTAATGCCAATTGGAGTTGTGTGACTTACTCTACATCTAAGCTGGGAGTATAATTTTCAGTATAATTTATTCACTAGGATAATGAAATATCAACAACGGCAAGCACATTGATATATGAAGTCAATTAAATACTTTCTGAGAACATGTGAAGTTTATTTGTCATTCTCTTCAGCATGATTTATTATCCATCAAATTTTACATAGCTCATTTTTTGCTCATAACCAACAGATTGTTAAATTCACTTCTCCTGGAATCCTAGATGCAAATTTTAACTAGTGGCTCTTATAAAAGTCCCAGGTATTATTTCCTGACATTCCATGAGGTATCAGAAGCATGTGTATTTGAACTTTGCAATGATGAAATATTTGACTCAAAATATTATGGTAGCATGATCTAAGCTACTGCTCAAACCACAACTACGTGACTGACCATAAAAAAATATTACAAAGCATTATTTTTTCTAACTTCAAATATTTCATATATCCCCAATTACAGAAATATACCAACTAATATGTTTCCTCTACAACAAGGGTCCCTAACCCCTAGGGCACAGACTGGTACCAGTCTGTGGCCTGTTAGGAACTGGTTCACCCAGCAGGAGGTGAGCGGCAGCCAAGCAAGGGAAGCTTCATCTGTATCTACAGCCGCTCCCCAGCACTAGCATCACCACCTCAGCTCCACCTCAGATCATGAGGCATTAGATTCTCATAGGAGCACCAGTCCCTGGTGCCAAAAAGGTTGGGGATGGCTGCTCTACAATATATAAATTACAGCCTCAATTAATGGATGTAGTCTGGAAAGAATAAGGAAACTGAAACCTATTCCATTTCCTTAATTTCTAATGAACAAAATAATGGGAAAAATGCTTCATCTTCTGATAATTCTGCATATGCACAAAAAGAAACTATCTTCTATATACTTTGAACTAAAGTCTGAGATAATTATTCATAAATAATTTGACTGTAAATGTTCTTCTAAACATATACTGCTAACACTGTAACTATTTTACTTGGACCAGGTACTGATTGAATTTGTGGTAAAAAAAATTAATCATGATCAACAACACCAGCCTTATGTTACGGAGTCTACATATTTGAAGATTATTACTAAATCACCAAGAATCCAGAGCTAAAGAAACTGGTGGGCAATACATATTTTCAGGAATTAAAATAAATGGATTGCAAGTTCTAATAAACCCGGGAAGGAAAATACACCACATCTCAATTCACAGTTCAGCCCGGTCAGTTAACGACAGTATCACACATCGGGGCAATGGTCTGCAATTGCTATGATTTGTAGAACCCCGCCGGAATGTCTTTTCTCTCAAGGAATTGTAAACCTGCTCCACAGACATTTGGAAAACATTACTTTGAAAAATGATGATACTCATACTTAATGAAATGATTATGGCTATTTTTTAAATGATGGCAGCCTGAAAAGTTTTACCATTTGGGGAAAAAAAGAATACGAAGTCCTTTAGAAACCAGTTTAAGGAAACTGTATCTTTAAAAAGAAAAATCACAATGCCAATATTTTATGCTACTTCCCATTAAGTTAAAATCAAGCGTTTCGAAATACAATCGCTAGTATTTAGACAGGGGGTTTCTCACAGGCACGTTGCTATTGTGATTTATATTTTCTTGAGAAACTTGAAATGTAAATTTGGCTACCAATTACTCTTCCAGCTATGATTATATCTAAGAACCTAAAGCCAGAGACAACATAGAGGTATATGTATCTGTAATATGGAAGGAAAGAATTACATGTATTTAAAGATTTTTCAACTAGCTTTCAATTTCAGCTCAGTTGAAAGTAGGACCTAATTGGTCCTAACTGCATACCATCAGCAATATTTTCTCTATGTAGTTGGCAAACAGTCTTTAAATCTGGTTTATTTAACTCTGAGTGTTATGCTGAGAGAAAAGAAAAATTTGGTCATTTATAATATTCAAATATCGGCCTATTCCTTCATCAGACTGACTTTGTGCCATAGTTTTTCACCAAATATAATCACCTCTCCTTCAAACACTTTCCTTTCTAGCCTACTAGAGGAAATGAACAGTCGCAACTACCATGGTGCAATTAATCACAACATTATTTAACACTTAGAAAATTCACATCAAAACTGCTCCTGACAGAACAATTTTTCCAGGAAGAGAATTCCAACTACACCTGGCACACCCGAGAGCCCAGTATCACTGTCAAGAGGGAAGCCAAAATGTGCTTTAAAAAAAGAGAGTGAAAAGAACATATATATCTCACAGTTGAATTCAACTGTGAGGTATATATACACACACACACATATGTATAACACATCTATATAATGCCTTTAGAACTCTTTCCTGGGGCCTGCTAGAGTCATTTCATACTGAAAACAAGGAACCCAAAGCAGTAGCAGTGTCTGGTAGCCAGAACTTCCTTGATCCCTTCCTGTTATGTCTGGCTACGTACTGTGCTCCATCTGCAGTCATGTTTTACACTGCCCATGTCATGTAACTTTAATGCAGAAATAATGGAGACTAACTCTTACGGGACAACGTAAAATCTCATTTGCTTCTCTCTTTCCACATGTAAAAAGCAAGACTGCTTATCGGCAATACAACCAGAACAGATCAGGCCAATAAAATGGACCGGTCTTTGAAATCTGAAGCCTTGTGTGTAAAGCAAGAGCTAAGTGGACACATATTTTCTTGCCTGCTATATGAAGTTGAATATTTCAACACTACTCCCTAAAGCTTAATTATAATTTTAAAACATCTCATAAGAGATTATTAAAATCAGCTTTAGCTTTATATTCAAATACTAAAATTTCCATATATTATGTGTTTTCTCTTAGGCTGAATTTACAGTATGAGGGAATAAATTTCTTTCAATAATACCTTTACTAAGTTTTTGAAAACTTAAAACAAGTCACTTAAATAATAATATGGTAATTTACAAAAGTTAATGCAAAATCTTATAAGTTACATGCAGTCTTGCAAAGTAAAATATAAATATTCATTATTAATAATACGTTATTTTGAAATTCTAATGTGACACTCAAATTCTAATTTGACAAATATGCTTTATGTTAAGCATATAAACATATATTTCTGTTAAAATACCTCTCATATACTTTTACCTCCCGGATACTATGTAACTCACCTTTTAGCATCTCTAAAACTGTATGAGTAAATACTGCCATTATTTTCAGTATTTCATTTAATTATTACCAATTAATATCATCTAATTTTTATCTTACAATAGCTAATAAACTAAGATAAACCATCACATTTAGTCTGTGTCGAGGAGAAAAAACAATCAAAATAGGAGGTTCCTTTAAAGTACCTATAATGTACCCTGATACTGCATAATTCAAAGATGAGTGCTTGAACCATGCTCTCAGAGAGCTCAAAATCTACTAGGAGAAACTAATTAACAAACTTAATGAAATTCATATTTTCAGAAGTATTATAATAGAGCTATAACAAAGGATTTGAGGAAAACAAAATGAGTAAGAACACTGATCCGGGCAAGTTCAAGGGTTCAGACCCTTGATGACATTCCCCAACAAATTTTAAACAAGAGGAGGAATGGGCCTACAGAATGAGTGCTCATGGCATTCTGATCAGACAAGAGGTGGATCTGTTAAGGCACATGGAAACAGACATTTAGAATTCAGTGACAAATACCTTTTTTTTTTCTTCCTCTTTATTTTAGTAAAATAAGATAACAGAGCATACAGGTAAATCACCAATAATTTACAGAAATAAACTGTCAATGACACCTTTGACTTCTTCAAGAGTCATGGAACTTCATTCTTTCTCATGACTCTGAAACAACTAATGACAAGTTTCTATGAGAAGAAACATCTACTATACTCTCCATAGCCAGATCAAGGAATTGAATCATCCTAAAAGAGGTTTCTACAGTAAAAATACAAGTCCATGAAAAGAGTTAATTCAATTCATTGACCAGATTTCAGTTGTGAAATTCATTTTGTTCTAAATTATCTTCTCACTTACCATCAGGATTTCGATCTGTCCATCAGAGTCGATGCAAAAAGGAGTAGAAAGAAAGAACACAATAAATTATCTGTAGTAAAATTACAACACAAATCTAATACACATCTGCTTAAAAATATAAATTAAAATTTTCAAGATTCCAACTGATAAATGGCTCTCCAATAAAAATGAGTTAACTCAATCCACAATAAAGAGTAAAATGTGAATAAATGAAATCTAACAATATATTTGTGCCTCCATTCTCAGAAGTCCATGAGACTGTTATTCCAGTATAAATGTGGCAAAAAGAGGTAAAGATATGTGACCTAGCTAAAGAGCAAACCAGATGTGACACCAAGAGCATTAAATGAATTGCTGGGATAAAAAGTTAAGTGAAAAGCACAATAATATTAATATTCCCAGTTAGTCTTGCTTATAATTTCAGTCACTAGATACTATGGAGTAACGACTTTATTTTTTTTATTTTTTTATTTTTTGGCTTGTCTTGGTATTCTTTTACTTTCACAGACTTTTTTTTTTTACTTTAATTTATAATTAACTTTCAATCAATTAATGCCTATCCTCTTTGGTACAGCAATAATTCACCATCTTTTAAATTCTATCTGTAGAAAAGCACAACAGTCAAAAATGGTATATGCAACAATAGGTACACAGACTGATTTCACAACTTTATAATGCATTTTTCAGCATTTTGTCCATTTGCTATGTAACCCATTTCTCTATTTTAAATTTCTTTTCAACCAGTGTCACTACTTTTCCTTGAAAACGAATGAAATAACGAGTTGAATTAGAGCATCAATAGTCTCTACAACGGCGTATTCAAAGTATAACAAGGGTAAAAAGTATAAGACTGCTTATGATTATTGAGACTCTCAATTATGACAAATAATCTAGAGATTTTAGCCAAATATTTCTTACTCTATTATTTCACAGCTCAAAATTAAAATAACACTGAAAATTGCAATGTTCTTTTTAGAAATATCCCACTGGAAAGTCCTTCATTCCTTGATCCCTTGTGGAAGTTTCATATTTCTTTCTGAAGCCAGCTTTCTCAAAGCCATTTAAACATAAAATATTTATGTAACCCCGAATTTTGAAAATACAGGTAAATGGTTAAAGGGGTCACTTCTGGCTAAAAATGAATTTTTTCAACAACTTTAAGCAAAATTACTTAAAGCAGAAGAAACAGATTTTCAAAACATGTACTAAATCATCTCAGAGCAGAGTTGCTAATGCACAAGCCAGAAAATTCACTTAGACAAAATAAAAACTACAGTTTTTAAAAACATTGCTAAATAAGCAAAGTGGGCATCAAAGGAGGGAAAAAACTAAGAAAACTATATAGAAATGGTTAAAAAACACAAAATGCAACATTGCTGAAGTACTCTATTATCAGTTATGCTACATTGAAACCTTTTTTAAAAGCAATGACTATTTTTATCTAATTATTAAACTGTTACTGTGGAAAATTCACTGTACAGAGGAAAAAAACTATAAAATTGGACCCAATTAAGTTAAAACTTATAACTGAATCTCAATTAAAGATAACCTTTTAATCTAAAAAGAAATTCTTGAAAAAATACACATCAAATTTTATTATATCTGTCTCTTAAATATTTTAACATGTAAGATACTAAAGAGTTTTATATAGTTACTAAAACAGTACCTGAAACTCCGAATACTGCCTTAATGTTAGGGTAATCCATAATAGTCTTTTTCACTAATTAGGACTAGACTTTTCTATTTAGTTCAAATAAATGAAGTCTGACTAGATACCATTCTTCTAGTGGAATTAAAATTTATCATATTTGGTATTAATTGAAAAGATAAAATCAAACATGTAGAAATCAGCTAAATAGCCTTATCACTAATTATTCATAACACATAAAAGTAACTTGACATACAATTTAATTAACACTTAAAAAGAATATTTTTTCATCTAATAATAATTTTAAATGTGTTTTTCCATCTTAACTTAAACATTTAACTCGTAATTTCATTAATTTAAAAGGAGTAATTAGGCTTAGAAATTCCTGAGAAACTGTTTACCTGTTGGTCTGGAATAAGAAACGACAGCATTTCCTTCCAATTCAGGTGGTGTATAACTTCCTTTCAGATAAACAGAAAAGGCTACTGTTTTAGTCATCTCTGGTGCTGTAAGCAACGTAAAAGTAATATAAGTTACATAATTTTGGACCATGATTATTAACAACAGTCAAAATTAGGCATATATGGCATGCCAGCAAATGTCCTAAGCACTTTAGACAGATTAATTCACTTAATCTTCACAACAACCCCATTTTTTTTCTTTTTTACATGAGGAAACTGGCTGCAGAGAGATTAGGAGTCTTGCCCAAGGTCAGATAGCTAATACAAAGCTGAGAACTGACTCCAGAACAAGGGTGCTAACATTCTACCTCATGGCTTCTCTTTACTCGGATAAACAGGAAGCATGAACAGAGAAAAAGTATATGAAAGGGCAAGAGAATTTGGAAGTGGAGCACAGTACTTTATCATGGCTAGCACATAAACTGCAGGGGGAAATCGAAGGTGTGTTGGGGGGTGGGGGGATTGCATATGGATATAACTATAACCATAACAGACTGTGCATAGCCTTTTATGTGCATAGCCTTTTATATTCATATATTTCACCTTCAACCTACATTAGAGAGCCGTAAAGAGAGTTTTAACTGGAAACATGAATTGTTCAGAATGTGTTTTAGAAAGACAAATTGGAAGTATTGTGAAAAAATTAGAAAATAAAGTGAAAACCCAATGTTGGATGTCACCTACAAGGTTACTTCAACCATTCGACCATTATTTCACTCATTCAATGAATATTTATTGAGTTCCCACTATTTGCCAGGGTAAGAGTTGGTTATACAAAGGCCAAAATGAGAGAGAAATTTTTGACATCATGAATAAGACAGAGGATCCCCAGCTGGACAGCGGCAGTAAACAAAGAAAGAAAAAGACTTGAAAGATAATTCGGAAACCATTTAACAGGACTAATGATTATTTAGATGTAAGTAGTAGGGTAGAAGAGATTCTAAACAAAGAATTCTTACTAAGAATTGCCATTTATGACCTACTATTTTAGGCATTATTACAGATATCTTACATAGATTCATGTTTTTATTAAATCCTCAAAACAGCCCTACAAGAAAGATATCATTATCCCCTTGCTGCAGATTAAAAAAAAAAAAAAAACCAAGGCTCCAAGTAATTAGCAAAGTAGTTTGCCCAAGGTTACACATAGAGTGAGTGTCAGGGCCAGGATTCAAACTCAGGCCGGTTTCCAAAGTCAATATTCTTTCTTCAAATACTACTGATTCAATAAATAGCTCACTAGAGAAATACCAATAAAAAAAGCCTTCCAAATTATAGTATTTAACTACAATTACAGGTCCATCGAGTTAAAGGAAAGCACTTGGAAATCTGTAATTACTTCAGCCTCAACAACCATTCATTGAATGTCCATGCTTGATATATAAGCAAAAAACATAAATCCTGATTTCAGAAATATACCATCTCGCGATTCACACAACAAATATAGCCATAAAATAAACACATTAATAAAAAAATTTTTAATTAAAAAAAAAAACTTCACACCACGATAGACTTTAAGCCAAAATAAAACACTTACCCATAAATTCAAAGGTGAATTGATCACAAGTCAGTACTAAAGGTGGTTGCACATAGACTGATAATTTGGCTTTTTGCAATGCCACTCGATTCTGCAGTGTGACCTGAAGAAATAAAAATTGTTATTAACAGAAAACCACATTTTATCTAAATTGATAAAATATCATAACTACTTGAAAAATCACTAGCGAATAACTAGGAAACATCATCTAAGAAAAAAATGAGTAGCCACAAAACATAACATGTAACATAGGCAGTAGATTAAAATGTCCTACCCACTTAGGGGCTGGGCAAAGAAATTGAAAAGACTTTTCTCCAAAGACGATATAGGAATGACCACAAGGCACATGAAAAAATGCTCAATATCTCAATCACTACGAAATAACAAATGAAAACCACAATAAGATACTATTACACATCCACTAAAATGCTATAATCAAAAGGACAGACAAAAATTGGTATTAGCAAGAATGTGGAGAAATCAGAACCCTCAAATATTGCTGATGGGAATGTAAAATGGTACAGCCACAGTTTGACAGTTTCTTTAAAAATTAAAACGTAAATTTACCATACGATCTCACAATTCTATGCCAAGAGACATGAAAACATATGAACATATTCATATGTACAAAAACTTGTACATAAATGTTCAAACTAGTATTATTAACAACAGTCGAAAATAGAAACTACTCAAATATCCATCAACTGATGTACGAACAAAACACGATATATCCATATGACAAAATACTCTTCAGTAATAAAAGGAAATGTAGTACTGATACACACAACAACATGGGTAAACCTTACAAACACGATGCTAAGTAAAAAGAAGCTAGTCACGAAGAACCACATATATTATTCCATTTACATGAAAATGTCCAGATTAAGCAAATCTATAACGACAGAAAATAGATTTATAGTTGCTGAGGGATGGGAGTTGTGAGTATGGGGGTGGGGAGTGGGAGAGGGGAAGGGAACAGGAAGTGACAACTAATGGGTATGGGGCTGTTTTTAGAGGGGAAGAAAATGTTCTGAAATTAAATTGTGGTGATGGTTCCATAGCTCTGCAAACATACTAAAAATCACTGAATTACACACTTTAAATGAGTAAATTATATGATATGTGATGTGAATTATATCTTAATAAAGCTATTAAAAATGTTATCTTTATCAGGGTGATCACTTAATAAGTTATACAAATGTCTAATCACCATGTATACACCTGAAACTAATACAACATTGTATGTTAACTACTAAAATTTTTTTTAAGTTTTAACTAAATTAAAATTTTTTAATTAAAACATTTTCTATTAAAAGCAAAAAAAAAAAAATCTGCCCTCAATGGCTGATAATTACATCATGAAATATTTTAATATGTGTTCATTCCTCTTTTCATGTATAGATATGGGATCATCATTATTTATCTTATATAGTATCAGTACATTATCTTTTGTCCAAGTTAATTATTCTCTAAAGATTTCCTTATTAGGTAGCTATTTTCTAGTCTAGATACATATCACAGCACTACATCTTCATCCAAATTTCTTTCTAAAATATCTGACATAACTAATTAAGAAAATATCAAAGAATGGCAATATTCACTGCTGCATATCTAAGCCGGCTGCATTTCCAAACTTGCGCTCTTGCTAGATGATGCTGAGAAAACTTTCCCACTCCAATTAGAATCAATAACTGAGAACTCTGCAGTAACAGTCCACCTGGGAAGTAGGGTGGGGGCAGGTAGAGAAGGTCAGGACTTCTCTCACTCCCCCTGTGGAAACCATCAGGCCCAATGATCTTTATTGGGTCAGAGATAAGGGGCATCACCTTCAGGCTGTCATAGAAAAAGCTTAATGATCTGGCTTCCTTTGGTAAGTTCTCTCTTTGGATTTTGTCTCCTAAAAGTCCCAGCCTTGGTGGTAAGCCGGACTTATCACAGTAGACCTGAGCATTGGTAATTTTTTTATACCTCCTGGGCAATATCTATGTTAAGAAACTCTTCTATCTGGCACCTTGGTGATGGAAGAGTTCAGTCTAGTTACCAGACTCCAGTATATGAGACAGATACATTTCATTATTAACTGATACACCGCAAGGGCATACTCATTTATAAGAAAAGTCATTTTGAATTTTCTCTTAAGTAAAAGGCATGTGTCACCTATTCCTTAATTATAAATGTACATACATATTATATAGAAACAATAGACAGAAATATACAACTGGCCCACAAACATATACGTATAATTATTCGGTAAATGTCTTGTATTAATTTTAAATGATGCGGGCATTCTGTAAAACTTAAAAATAAATAAAAAGAATTTTTTACTTGCAAAGTAAAATTTTTAAAAGACAACTATTGATGCAAATAAATAATAAATACAGCAAATGAAAAATTAATCCTCAGTTTTTACTTTATAAGCTCTGAGATTACATGATGGGGGCTCGGCACACCACCAACAAAGCTTCCTTAATGATGTCTGACCATTATAAATAACATAATACCTTTTTAGTAAAACCCTGATGCTAATTATGGGAATAAGAAACTATGTATGCACTACAGACAGCATCTTTCAAATAGCTAGTCCACTAAATAAACAGAACACAGTTTAAATAATTTTCCATTAATAATGCCAGTCTATACATATATTTTTAAATTAAATTAATAATATTAATGATAATAACCATTAGCAGCTTTCTATATTCATAGAATCATGCTAATAAATTGTTTATGTGTATTATCTCATTTAATATGTACATTATGGTGAAACAGCTACTATTACTATATACCATTTTATAGAAAACTGTGGCTCAGAGAGGCTAAATAATTTGCTCAGGTCCACTCTGTTTATAAGTGGAAGAAGAACCACAAGTTAACCTCTGTCTGACAGAATCCAAAGCCCACACTCTTAATCAGCTGTGGTCAAGCCTCAAAACAATTCTGTAAATGAAAAAGAATCCCCATTTTACAGTTTAAAAACAGAGCTTCGGAGAAGCTAAATAAACAGCTAACACTATCAAGCCAATATGTACAAGAGAGTTGAAAACTTAGTTTTAAAAGTGAAAATTAAAAATCCTTAAAGTAGTAATGAGCTGTTTGTAAGAGAGCAGACATTCTGACTCTGCCTGGCATAACAATGCGTCGTTAGACAAAGATCGCACAATTTTACGTTGTCACAAGAAGTGTCTGCATTTGGTTTAGATGCGCGATCATGACAGCTCTTATACACGGGTTTACTGAACCCCAACAATGGGCTAGGCACTTTCAAAAGTGAATCAAGGGGAGGTGTGACGAAAATAGCTACAGTAACAAAGAAGAGCTGTGTTTGAGCCAAAAAAAGAGTTAAAGACTTGGCTAGATCATAAACCTCATATTTTAAGAGAAAAATAATTATAGAATATTAAGGGAAAATATAAAACATTAATACAAGAATTTTCCATGCTATTTTCCACTTCTAACAAAATGAAATATGATCCTTAGGAAATACAATACCAAATTTTTTGTCCTAGATATATAAATATGACTCCAAAGGCCAGGTATGAGCCACCTCTCTCCGAGTTGCCTGGATAGATGGTTATGCATCATGCACACATACTCAAGGTAGCCGTATCTTCATTCACTTCCAACGGATGGAAAACTTTTCTCAATTAACAGGATTTATTATGATGGAAACTTGCATGGTTATATATCTTGGCTGCTGTTGTTATAAAAGGCTATAAGGAGAGATTTATAGCAGAAATTTGTATAGAAACTGTCAGAATCAGGAAGTCGTTGTGTCTGCTGGGTAAGTCCAGCTGATGTCGTGCAACCTTTGTGTGTTGCATGCTTTCCATGCTCTTATAATGGCCGTAAGGAAGAGAGTTGTGACTTAGTCATTCTCAAATATGGTAAATTCACTCACTAAAGAAGGAGAATTTTCCAGGAGTCTCATGCCATCATTCTGAGGTGGCTATTACACATGAAAGCCTAAGAACTGCATGGGAGAGAAAGGTGTGTTTACTTAGAGCAATAAGTAGTTGCTGGGGAAAAATTAGCATGAGCAAGGTATCTGGTTTAGACACAGACTTTTTTTTTGCAATTTATAGTGTGCTCCTGAATTATTATGTGTATGTATCTGAACAATATCAGTAGGTAGATATAAAAAAGGTTTCCCCATACAAAAGTCTATAGATCATTCCTGGAACTTTGCAGATTTTTTTTTCCTTAAGTGTTTGATTTCTTGCCACTAATGCGTTTCCAGACTCAGAAGTATTAATGAGATAGAGCCTTTGATTGCATAGGGGGGAGGGAGACTGGGGAAAGACCACCCTTGTTTCTAGTGGCAAGAATCCAAAAAAATTAGCTTAGGAAACTGTTAAAAGATTGGGCTCCCTTCAACTTCTACCAAAGATCCCCACACTTGGGCCACCCGCTGGGCCCAGTGTAAGCGAACACAATTGGTAAAGCCTGGTACCCTGTCAAGCTCCTCCAAGGACAGCAACCCATAATCTAAGAAAATATAAAGCCCTGTCCAAGTTTTGACTAAGTGAATCGCCAAGATCCACAACTTTCCCTGGCTCCAAGGTCTGGGTAGTGATAAATATTTTCAGCTTAATAATGTGCTGACTGATTACCACACTTTAATCTAAAAGCCTTAAGAGGGTTCTACATTTGAATTCTAGTTCTAAAATTCTACAATAACGGACCAAAAATCTTAACCAAAACCACATCCTTCATATTCTAGTTTTTTTAGGACTATCAATTTGTCTCTACTCAACTTTGTGGCTTCCTCATTTAAAATTTTCTTACTATGAATACACCCATTTAATGCTAATATTATAACAGATAGATGACTGGGAATTCTTTTCAAACATACATATAATCATATATGGAAGATTTTACTAGCATTCATGTAATTCGTATGTATAAAAATACATATATATCAAATTCCCATCATATATATATATGATACTTCAATCAACTGGCTGATCTATTATGACACCAGTAGGTCTAGGGTGGTGACACAATTCCTTTAGCATATTTAAAATGTTAATTTTGTTTCTAGAAAAAACTCTGGATCATACAACACATTTAAATAATGGTAAGGATAAGTCATAATAATTGTTTATATTATATACATATTGCTATAAATGCAATTATCAGTTTTGTATTTATAGAAAACAATGAAGGTAATCTATTTATAGGATGACAACAGTGACAAATGTGATGACATGTATAATACTGTCTGCACATTACAGTTTAGAACCATGGTACAATACCTTCACTGTGACTGAAGGGACAAGGTCAGTTCCCACTTCAACATCAGGAGCTTGCTGGAAGGAAAGGAAGGAAAGAATGGTTTCAATATTACACATCAATGAGTAAACACACGGGTGCAATATATACTTCTCACCACCAAAACAGGGAGCTAACTCTAAAAGTTATCACTCTACTGACAGACTAAAAGAGTCAATATGGCTTTTTGGACAACTTCATCTGGAAAGTCATGAGCTAATATTCAAAAACCTATCCCCCACTAAAAAAAAATTAAAGGTCACATATTTTATTATCAAACTACTGCCAAATGTATTTAAATGCTGAATTAATTAATTCCATTCACTCATTCTTTATATTACATAGAAGAAGGCCTCCTTGTATTTCTAGCAGATAAACATTATGCCATTCTTTTAGGCCCTTATATTTTTAACTTGTCAAAGGTATGTTTTATTCTGATTAATAATATGAATATATAAATAGTACATGTAATTAATGACATAAAGATCGAGTGGCCTTATATCCAGAAAATAAAATAGGAGTGTGATTTTTTTTTTTCACTAGCTCATATCATAAACTAGTTCACTCTTTGAGTATCAGCCTGGGTTACCTGGTTCTACCTCTTAAAGAATTCAGAACAAAGATTTCCCTGTAACTTGTAACATATTTTAGAATGGTAGATTGCTTACTCTATGACAGAAAAAGACTGAGGGGTAACATATTTTCTAATAATACCTATATGAATTCCTGGGGAACAATCGAGATCCTAAAATCTCCATCTAACCAATGAATAGATCCATTGTGCTTTAAATTAACCTATTTGAATTTTTTTACTAAGAAAACTTAAGCCACTTCTAAGCAATGGAGATTGCTATGATGTAATGGGAATCAGCACAATTAATTGCTGAGAGATTCATATTCTATTTATGACTCCATAGGAAACTATATATGATCCGACTTCTCAACCAAGAAGATGGGATAGCAATGCTTGTCTCCTCTATAAAAGACTCTGTTCTAATATAAATTATATATTTTTCAGATGGGTGCTTTCATATTAATGACTTGAAATAAAATATTAAGCCAGGTTTGCTCTAGTATTACCTAAAATCCAGGAAATGTTTTACATTTAGCTGTCTGAAGATCTAGAAAAGGAACCAATACCTCCTGTTCTCTGCTCTTTTCAATCCTGTGTCTAAACGCCTATATACTTCAAGGACAGTAGTCCTTCGGGAAATAAAATCATAGCCAGAGAGAAATGGCTACACAAAGACATCACAGCACCATAGCCACATGAATCATTGGGCTAATGTTTTCCAATGGAATGAATATGATACTCTCAAAAATCTCTTAAGAAGGAAAAAATAGTAAGACAGGGAAATGAAGCTGGAAAGAGACACCTAGTTAAGAGAAAATAGCACTCCAGGCTGCCAACAGGAAAATATACATTATAATATGGTGCTATTACATAAGGCCTTTTCCTACAAAGATCAAAAGTTGCTAAAGAACAGAAAGAGAAATCCTCATTCCAAATAGCCTATGTTTAAGAGAACTTAGAAAAAGTTATATAAGTTGCCCAAAGGAAAAAAAGAATCATTCCCAAGGCAAGAAAATGTGGGTACATTTGTCAGCTAACTAAGCAGAAATGTTCCACTCAGACTACACCCTTCAGGTAGAGTGAGAAATGGTGTGTGCTGAATGGCCAGTGTTTAAAACAGTGGCTCTACTATGTGACTCAGCTGGGTGAATGTTTCTTTCATATATAGTCCTATTTTTTTAAGTGTACCCAACTCACTCTACTATGGCAATGTGAACGTGATTTTTATCACAACTTGGATTGGTTGATTTAACTAAGATTAATCTTTGAAAATTTGTGACAACTACTTACTATATCATGCTCTAATACCTAGACACTGAAGTCATTTCCCAGACAAAATTATATGACCTGAACTCCAAATACAGTAAAATCAGTGAATTTGATCATTTATCTAAATTGATCAACTTTTGGTATAGATATAGATAAACAATAGATTTTGCCCAAACAGCAGGCAGTGGAACCTAACAAATCATAATCTAACATGTGCATATGGAATACTAGACAAGGAAACGGGGTAACATAACCAAGGACAGTCCCCTTGCATCCCTCTTGTTTCTCAGCTTTGTCATTCATTCATAGAGCAAATATGTATATTGAGGTCCTATGTGACAGGCACTAGGTTATGACAGTGAACAAGACAAGTAGTGGAATGTAGGTGGTGGTGGTGGTGGTGGTGGTGATGGTGAATTATCATAACAATTCAACAAAGTATATTCTATTATAATTCCCACTTCACAGATGAGAAAATTAAGACTAAGAAAATTAAATATCTTGCCCTGGTTTACATAGGTAGAAATGGGGGAAAAAAGAATTCCTGGCCCAATCGTTTACTCTTAAATTAACCCTTGCCCATTAAAGCCATCATAATGTATTAAAGGCTGTAAACTATGAAATTCTGAGGTAGGCCTTTCATAAACATTACCTCATTGAACCTTTGACACAAATCTTATGGGATCAGTGTTATTCATCTAGATTATGATTATCTCAATACTCCAGTACTGAAAAAATTAAAAATTTTAAAAAGGTAGCTTTAGAATAATGGCAAGAACTCCTTCTACTGTTCCCTCCTCCCACTTTTTAAGACAGAAATCTGCCTAAGGAACTCCTTACTAAACTAAGAGGCTAGAAATGTTTGTTTGTTTGTTTGTTTGTTTTTCTAGAAAATAGCAAAGATTAAAAAGTTGTTATCCTCCCTAAAATTTCTACTTGGAGGCCCAGAATTCAAAATCAATATATTTTGACCCCAATTCATCAGAGCCCGTCACTATCATGAATCCTTTTAAAGTCTGCAAATACACCTACAGACACAGAATCAAAGTTAGAAGAAACCAAGGCAGAAACTTTCAAGTCATCTTCTTTCTCAGTCATGGGCCAAACACCTGTAATTTAAAAGAAAATAATATTTAATCATAAAGTAAAACCTGCTATATATAGTTTTTTAAGGTTTATCTGTGCCATATTTAAAAAAAAAACCCATAAACATACTCAAAAGTTGAAAAAATTAATGCATTACAGAATTAGAAGCTTGATGCTAAGTCTTCCCTTTCTACAATATTTTAAAGAAAAACTGTCTCTCCAAAAATATTAGCTGACCAACCAGCATTGGGAATTTCAATGCCCTCTCTTTAGCTACTTACTGGTAGAAGCCCAAATTAGTACAATTCTTTTGAGGATAAGTTGATTTGAAGGTAATTACTTTTGAAGTCAAGTAATTCTACTCCTTGGGAGTAGAACTATTAGGTCACAAGGTATGTATATTTTACATTTTGATAGGTATAGTCAACACAGAGACATGCTCAAAGAGGTTCTCTGTTACTGGTAGTTATTAAAAACAAAAACAAAACAACCTAAATCTCTACATTTCCAGTAATAGGGAAATGGTTAAATAAATTATGGTATATCCATGCTATGCAGTAGTTCAAAGCCCAAAGCTGTAAATAAGAGTGCTGTTTATCTTTACATACTAATCGGAAAAGAAATCCATAATATTCCTATTAACTAAAAAAGCAGGACATAGTATAATGTGTCTAATATACAAATATTTGTGTAAACACAATTGCATAAACATGAAAATGTTCTTATACACAAAAACTCTTGATAAAGGTTACCTTTAAATAATCTAGTGGAACTAGGAGCTGGGGTTACCTTTTTAGTACTGTTTGAATCATTTTCACCGTACTCATGTTATTTTCACAACTTAAAATTTCACAATTTAACAAATGTTTATAGTGCATAACGAGATATCATGAACAAGTGAGAGATCCTAAATAAGCAAGAAACATAAATAACATTTATGCAATATAAATGTGTACATATGCACACACACACACACGCACACATATACATAACAGACTACTGGCTGCCCACCTAACATCCACCTTCCCTCCTTTATGCGGCAGAGCCCTACTGCTGCTGAGGCATTCACCTTCATCTCAAAGTCACCGGATTGGTCAAATCCAAACACAGTGATTTCATTCCCCTGACCATTTGCTGTTTTCGGCGTGAGCACGGGGCTTAATCCTGGCAGATGTGAGGTAAGAAGGGCTGGGCGTGAGGGGTGCTGGCGCGTGCTTCTGGGAAGGCTAATCCTCCCTAATGAAAGGGGAGACTAGGAGAAATCTCTCTCTTCTTCCCTGGAAATCGTGTTTGCACATAATGCCTGGAACTGTTGAAATCGCCCTGGGACCCTGAGGGGAAACATCCCCCACACCCAGGGCTGCTAACTGAAAATACAGAAAGCACGTGGATGATGCCACACATATCGGCTCTCTCCTGAAGAGAACCACCGCCCACAACTTCCATCAGGCGTTCCACCAGGACTGCTGTATCTGGAATAGGGATTTCCATAACGTAGTGAGAGTACAAAAGCCTGCTCACTGTCTACCCAATAACCATTCTTTAGTTCCTTACTAAAAGAAGCTCAATTTTATTCTAAGCAACAAAGTGCTAAGCTAAAACCCTAAATTCCCCAGCCTCTTTTGCAGCTTGGAGTGGCCAGCGAGATGTGAGCAGAGACTGCTCAGGGTGTGGCTTCCAGGAAAGATCCTTAAGGGGCTGACTCAGCCGCAGATGTGAGGGCAGGAGTTCCAGAAGCCATCCTGGACCAACAGATGACCCTGGGAGGAAAGGAACTGGAGTCCCTGATGACAGTGGAACTGCCAAGCCAACCCTGCTCTGCCCGTCCCAGGACTTCTTTTCCATGGGAAAGAAAGAAACCTCTGCCTTGTTTAAGGCACCGCATCTGGGTAGTCTGTAGTCTGCTACGTGCAGCCAAACAACCCTAAACACCACGTCTTCCAACACAGTCACCAAGGACAAACGTTTCTGGTATGCAAAGGTAGCGGCACTTAGTTATCCTAGATATATTTCAAATAGAATGCAGACTTTCATTTAATACCCAAATCTTACCGCTCTCTTTTCCTTCCTGAAGGCACAAATGTGTGGGAATCTATCTCAATATCATACCCATCCCTTCGCCCTAAGTAGAGAACATGATCAACTATCTCAATCATGAGGAAACTCCATCTTTGAAAGTGCCTACCGACAGATGCTGTTGACGACCGGTAACAGAAATGCTTGGCAGGATTTACGCTAATGAGTTGAGTACGAAAAGCTTCAAAATCCATGAGCCATACAAAAATTATTACTATAATTTCATGCTTACAACATACATTCCTCATATAACTTACACACATAAAATGAGGTTCAAAAACACTTTTATTACAGTAGATAATATACACCATGTGTATAACAAAATGTACTCTTTAAATTGGCTTTAAATTTTCCTGCAACTCTTGCTTTGAAGAAATAAAAAAATCTTTAAGTACTGAACATAACACACAATACTGTGAACTTTTTTGCAAGTTAAAGTCACTATACTAAAATAAGTGGCATTTAAATGAATAATGAGGTCATCAAAAAGTTCAGAGTTTTAACTTTTCATAATCTTCTATACTGAAATGATTTGGTCCTTTTATATAATTACAAGTATTTTAATAAAGAAATATACCACAGTTTTATAAGAGCAGAATACTAAATTTTTTTCTATATCTAGAAATAAAACATTTTAAAAGTCTCTCCTTTTTAAAAGTTTCTCTATGTTTCTTTTTCAGGAATAAAATGAAATGATGGTGGCATAGAAAGGGCAAGGAACTTCAAATATTAACTCGAATTTGAGGCTATGTAAATAATGAACTTTCCACCCAAGTCTGTGGGCACATCCCTAACTTAATTAGCAGTTATTTTAAATTACACAGAAGAATCGAGGTAATGACAAGTAAAACAACCTAACCCTTCTCACCCAAGGGCATCACTATGGCCACCAAAAAATAACTTTTAGCTACACGGGATTTTTCTGAGAAATGTTTTACACAATTAAGTGTTAACCAAAATATCATTAGCACATTGTTTATGGAAAGAGCAAAATCTCAAGGCAAAATGTGGAATGAAAAGCCACATTAAACTCATTTAACGAACTCTGGAAATTTCATGTTTCATATATACGCCACTCTTCCCAATTACATTTTTAAATGACAAAATGAGACTTAGAATTCCATTAATCCCAAAACACTAGTATCGAAAATGGAAAAAACTTGTATATTGCAAATGACACATCCAATTTTAACCATTCTCTATTTGATGGGGGGCGGGGGGTGATGAAAACAAACAGGTTTTTAACTAATTGGTGGTACTTAACGGACCTGTTCCACTGGTTTACTTTCAAAACTTTCTAAGAGAATGTGTGAAGCCAAAGCATAATAATTTTTTTTTAATATTCATACTTTTAAATACATTATCTAAATTCCTCTAAATCTGTCTTGGTAATATAGACTCAAAAATACATAAATCGCATAAAGTGATTAGACCAGGATTAAGACTGGCTCTGTTGTTTTGGTTCTTTTTGATGCTCTGCTTCTTTTATTATTTCTACTTGTTTTAACATCTCTTTTATGTGAAAGTAGTCCATATTTTTTCTCATTAAAAAATGCTTTTACCTGACCCTGAGAAGGAAACTTAAAGTAATGCTTTTCACATGTCCAACTCAAACTGTGGGACTGGTGTTTTGTTTCTCCTTTTAATTTACAATAAAATTATACCCCTGTGAATCCCAAAGTAAGATAATATTGAGTTATTCAAACCTCAGGAACTGAAAATATCATCGGCCTCTGAGTCATTAGAAATCAGCATACCGCAGGCTACACGCCATTTGGACGGCTAATTAACTACAAACATAAATTATACTGCTAAGCTGCAAATGACTACATTTTTAGTAACTAAGTGGTAACTGCTTAGGTTTCCTTTAAAAGAAGCAACTAAAATTTTTTCAGGGATATTAGAAGTAGTAAATGACCATTCAAAACTTTAATGCTCTTCTCGAGGCCTGAAACCACTACCCAAAAAAAGTTTTTATTCCTTTTTTTAGAATTTAAAGGAAAAAAAAAAAAAAGATAGCGCTGTCCCTGAAAAAGAAATACTAACAAAAGCATTATCTTAAATAGTACATATTTTTCAGAAGCTACCGTAGACGAATTAAACACAAAGATCTCATGTGCTACAGAGCAATACAGATTTTATAAATGACTTTAATTAAGCATGGGGGAGAAGAGTGACTGATATGTACAAAACATTATCCATACACCAAATAATATGAACTCTACAATGAATACTAAAATCAAATAATAAAAAGCTTCAAATGAGATACCTTGTGATTTGTTAACATCCTTGATGAGTTTCTGAAGTTCTTTCAATTCCTTATCAAGTTCCTCATAGTTTAGTTCTCTAGATTCAACTTTTGGAGCTTGGAACAAAGAAGGGTCTGTCCCTAGGTATGAACACTGCAAGTGACCATCATCACTCAGAGTGACTATCACTCCCTTTAAATCACTACAATAAAGAAGAGAAAATGAGACATAATTAAAATTTTCAATGGATTTAGACTTGCCCAACTACATCTTTATTCAATTCAGCTCCAATACACTATTAAGAAAATGACTGTACAATATAGCTATTTCTAAAGTTTTACATCAAAGATTCGATTCAGTGTTTCAAACATGACATATATATAGAAGTATCCCCAATGTTACAATTCATTACAGAAGAAAAAAACCACTTTAACAATTATCGTAACAGCTGCCACTTTGGGAGGAGGGGGCGCTAACTACATGGCAAATACTACTTTAAGAGCTTTTCAAGGACTGTATTTTTTAATCCTTGCTCCAGCTCCCACTTGGCAGATTCATAATAAGCATGTGAACAATAATTGTAGGGCCACAATGGATTAAGAGCTGGGCTGCTGGCTGGAGACCAGGGTTTAGGCCCAGGAGTGAAGACAGGACAATCCAGCGGAATAACAAAAAGGTAAGTAGAGTAAATCTGGGAAGCCCTGAAAAGCAGTACGGCCCTG